AGGAATGATGTGTTTCTGAGCACCCCAGGCTTCTTGCCCAGCCTCAGCCTTTCCTTAGCACCCAATGTTAGAACAAAAGATCTCTGCGGGTTTGTCTGGATGTGGTTGGATTTTCACTGGCACAATCACCTAAAAGGGATCATACAGAATCCTTAGACTGGGATGGGCCTCTAAAAGGAGCATTGACAGGCAGAGGAGAGGCTCCTTGGAAACATGGTTTACTGATACCTTTAACATTTGTGTTATCTGTGTTTTCCCTTCCCTGCCCTTGCTGGGTTCAGTTCTGGCATTGGGTTTAGGGGAAGAAACTGGAGGTCTGGAAGGACACAGGTGCAGGCTGCGCTGGGGCTTGCAGACAGGCCACTCATTCATGGAGGTTTTATTAAAAGGAAAGGCAAAACCCTAATTATTGCAGTGAGTGAGTGAGATGCCTTGTGATCAGATACAAGGTGAATGGTAAAGGAATGACTTACCTTTGCCATTAAAGGCACCTGAGATTTCTTAATTAGTTACTGGAATGTTAAACATAGCAAATGTGTTGATTTTTAGGAGGTTGGACCGTGTTAAAATTAAGTGGAAAATAATATTTGACACTAGGAACTTATATAAGAGCCTGTACAAGTGAGCTCCCGCAGCCCTCACAGGGACAGACAGACAAAGTGGGTGTCCTTTTTGTCCCCGATAAAGCTGTCTTCACACCTTTTGAAACACCCCCAAACAGGGCTTTGCTCCAGAGCCTGCTCTCCTGCCTCTGTTCCAAGGAGGCCCAGGGGAGGATGGCACAGATTCAGGACTGGGTCCCCCCTGCCCTGCCTTGCCCTGTCCTGCTCTCCTTGCATCCCAGGGCTCCTCTGTATGTCGATGTTCATGGGGCTATAAATGGCAGCCCTCGCTCTTGGCTGAAGGACATCCCGGCACCTCAGTGGGATGGAGCAAAGGTTTGTTTCCTGCTTCCCAACATGGCAGGGCTGAACCCCAGGAGGGTCCCTGGAAGGAACTTGTGTAAGTCCCTTTGCTCTCTTTCCTTTATGGTCCATCCCTTGCACAGCCACAGCTCAGCTGGTAATTCCCAGTCCCCCCCGACCTCTCGCCTCAGCCTGGCGTCTCTCCCTCTGGCACTCAGCGTCTCCAGATGCTCTTTCTTTCCCCTTTCCTTTCACCAAAGGGCTGTTTCTCACCGGCCGCATCTTTCCAGTGAGCCTAATTAGACAGGAGCCTAATTAGAACTGAGCAGGAGCGTTGAGTCATTAGCAGAGCCCTGTGGGAAGCCCGGGAGCAGCCGTGAGCCTGGCGGGGCAGCAGCGTGGGCAGAGGGGGCCGGGAGGCGGCGGGTGCTCGGCTGGGTGCCGGGAAGTGGGAAGCAGCTCCTGTTTGTGTGTGCATGTGTAATTCCTCCAGACAGTGACCCAGAAATGGAGTGGTGGGTGTTCATCCGCCTCCCTGCACCTGCTGGAAAGCAAAGTGAGTCCCAGTGCTGCTGGGCTGGCCTCAGGGCAGGGGATGGCTGTCCATCCCAACCAGCCAGGGAAGTTAAAAGCCAAAAGAGCTTTTCCTAGTGGGCCTTAAGCCTTTTTCTCCTTGTTTTGTTTCTACTCATCCCCTTTAATAACCAGCTATCCCCCACAACGGAACAGAGCCAGCATCCCTGGGACTGGCTGCCTGCTGGGGCTGTAGGGAGAAAGATCCCAGATGGGGTGGAAAAGAAGAATGAGGGGAGCAGCAAAGGGCAGTTTGCAATGTTTGCTCTGGACAGACCCACAGGACTGGGGTTGTGATGCCAGAGCTGAGAGACAGGTCTTTCTATCAGTCATTCAGTCACATTCTGGCCAAAAGTGCCAGCAGTTAAGCACAAGTTGTGCCATCTTAGCCTGGTCCAGGACAATTCCCCCTGGATTCAGCTGGGAAGGGAGGGCTTCCCAAGAAAGCCAGAACTGGAAATCTACAAATTACTTGATTCCTGAGCTCCGTAGTCCACAGAGATTGTCAGGAAGAATGAAAGGACACATTGGGTAGCCAGGATCAGTCCTCTGGAGCCCTTCCCCCACCTTCATTTGGCGGGGGGCACACAAACACAGAGGGGTCCTTGTCTACGATGCCTGCGAGACGTGGACATCAGTGGTGCAGCATGAGCTGAGGAAGCGGGAAGTGAGATGTCCAGGCACTGACAGCATGAAAAGCCAGGCTTTTTCCACCTAATTGGATCTCTTATTCAGCTGAGAACCGCTGAATGGCTTGGGTGGGCTCTGAGCTCACAATTTCAGTGAGGAAGTCGGGACGTGGTGGTAAAGTAGGTCACACTGCTGCAAACAGGGTGAGGGTTCTGCACAACGGCTGAGGATGTTAAATAAGGAGGTGGTGAAATGGAAAGAAAAGGGAGATTGTGAGGAAGGAGGAATAAATGAGCTCAGCCCCGGCTATTCACTCCCACTGGGAGTCCCTTCTGCTGGCTCCCACCATGGGCCCCCAGCACTGCTGCTTGTGCCTGGAGGGCACAGGGCTCCTGCTCTGCACTGGAACGAGAGGGACTGGTGCCAGTTTAAACTTCCAGTTGGTTATGGGGAGCTGGGGGCAACGGTTTCTCCTGCTCTTGGAAGCTTAACCCAAACGTTTCAATGCATGGCATTTTGTGAGCCTGGACCCTCTTCAGAGACTAAAATGTGCTGGGTTTTCCTCAAGGGAAAAGGTGCATGGGAAAATAGGAAAACAATTTGACATGGGAATATATTGCAGGGAGAATGTGCAATGCTGGGGCATTAATTAATGTGCAGAAGATGACAAGCCAAGGACACGAGGCTTCAGTGCTCTGTATAGACATGGATGAATTTGAAAGCATGTTGGACGGCTGGAAAAAAACACTCCTCCACTCCAATTATGTGTTTAAATGCCAGAGCTGGCCTCTGGATGGATGTGGGGCTTCCTCGGACACCGAAGCTATTAAATCACCAGCTACTCTGCTTTTAATTGACTCTCATGACAAAGGGAGAGCAGGCTCAGAAGATAATTCCCTGCAGGGCTTCTCTGTACAACAGTATTATTTCAAGGGCAGCTGGGGTCAGGCTGGGAAAATGCATATTTAAAAACCAATAAGGCACTATGAGATTTATTTAAAGAAGACATAGGAGTATCAGCCTTTTGCGACTGGGGAGGTTCACCATGGTCAGTCCCTGGGGATGAAAGTCCCCAGGCCTGAGCCCAGGAGAGGTCTGATCCTGCCAGCTGCCTGCCCTGCTCCATCTCTGAGCATCTCCCCACCCTCTCCTCCCAAAGTGCTTTTTGGAGAGTGAGAAGCACCCTGTTACAGAGCTGGGGAACCGAGGAGGAGAGAGCCCATGAGCAGGCTTCAGATAGGGCCAGAGGGTGGGTGGAGTGGAGCTGCGTCCTGCCCAAGCTCTCCCGTGGGACTGGGACCAGCAAAACAAGGGAGGCGTGGGACAAGCCCCCCTGCCCCTCCAGGGGATCTCCATGCCAGGTCCCTGGCACCTGGTGGGGAAGATGTCTGAGTTCCTGACACCCCACAGAGAGGGCTGGCTATAGCCCGTGGGCATGTTTCCCAGGAGCCTGGGAACACACGATCCCTGTAACACCACCAGACAGGACTCTTTCCCAAGTGCTCGCTCCCAGACAAAGCTGTGCCTGACCTGCTGAGATGGTGAAAAAGCCTTTTAAAAAAGGAAAACAAATCAGATTTACATTCCTACCCCTGTACCTCCCTTTTAAACCCCAGCCCCGCTCTGGCTGTAGCTTTATTCTGACTGTTACATCCATTTTCACCTCCTGCTCCCCTTTTACTCTGTTGCTGCTAACCAAGAAACCTTTGTATTTCTCATTGCATTTAATTCCATAGCAACAGGTCGCTGCTGTCACAGCAGCTGCTGATGGCTTTTGAATTGTCTTTCAGGAAAGCTCCAGAATAAATACAAAAGAGCAGGTCTCTGCATGGCTCATATCAAAGCAAGCCCATTGCAAAGCCTCCCCAGCTGCTATTTAAAGTCCCATAGTCACATATAAAACCTGAATCAACAAAACTATAGAGGATTTCATTCACACACCCCTTCTCTTTTTCCCCCCTCCTGCTCATCAAACAGTAATTTCTACCCTGAATTCATTTCCCAAAGGGTTCTTTAATAAACTTTTTCTATGGAGCCTTATACTTGTATCTGCTCAGCTCATGTCAGCTAATGCTGCTGCCTACCCAGCTCCTGCAGGCAGGGGGACATGTTCCCTGTGTCCTTTACACCTCAGAAATTTAGTCTTTAAATCCCTTTGTGTGTAACACCCATAGAAGTTTTGTTTCCCAAACCCACTGGCCCCTGCTATAAGAGGAGGCAAACGCAAGTTTGCCTGGTGCCTGTTCATTGCTCTGAGTGATGCTCCCATGGTCCCAGACCTGAGCAGGGGCTTGAGTTCCCAGAGCAGGGCTGGATCAGTCCCCTGCTCCTTTGGGATGGGGAGAGATGCACACAGAGGAGTGCATGGACGGGGGCCCAGATGGAAAGCTCCATCTCTCCTGTCAATGGGCCCCTTTCTTGGGAGCTGCAGCAGCCAAGCAAAGGCAAATAAGGAAAACAGAAGTATGAATTCTTCATCTTCCTTAGAAATTACTGGCTTCCCCTGCAGGAGTACGGCTGTCTCTTTGTTGGGCCCCTCAACCTACTTGGCAGGTATTATTACCATTGCAGACTTGCAAGTTCTCCTAAAATCATGACACGGACAAGCTGAGTGAAAGCAGCCATGGAGCATGAGACATGTGATGTCCTCAGGGCATGAGAAGTCCTGGACTTTATTCCCAGATCTACCACTAACCTTGGACAAGCCAATTGACATTGTGCCTCAGTTTCCCAAGCACTGAAGCAATAATAATTACAGCCAGGCTGGTTGCTTCGGAGGCTGTTTGTGAACCGCCCCACCAAGTGCCAACCCTGTTATTAGTCCTCGGCCCTGTTATTAGACCTAAATCCAACTTACTTAAGAATGAAGACTCCTGTGAAAAACACACAAACGGTTTCCCAGATCATCATTTTTATTAAAGTTCACAAGCAGCTGAAGGGAAAAAAAAAAAAAAGACTAGAAAACGTAAATAAACGTCATTCAGCGCATCGCAGACTGGCTGTGCAAAACGTGTGTTCTCCCCGGCAGCAACGGGCACCCGCTGCTCCGAAAAGACCTTTGTTGTTTGAAGCTGTGTCAAGGCTTTTCAGAGCATTGCATCATTCAGCTGGCCAGGCTACAGCTCAGCCTAATCCAGGGGCAAAAGGCAAGCCTGGAGCATCTGCGGATCTGCTGTGCAGGGAAGTGGGATGCTGGGTTGGTGCAGGACCAGTCCTTGGCAGTGGCCAGCCCTAAAGAGGCCAGGCAGGAGCTGCATCCCTGTCTTGACATCCCAAATCCATGTGCCCTCCTTCACAGCATGAGTGAGGAGCAACTCGGGCTGACAGCTCTTGGATGCATAAACCCAAACACAGTCAGCAGCCAGCATGTGTGGATAACCTGGGGCAGCCTCAGCCCAACCACGAGCAGGCAGCGTGCAGTCAGAAACACTCACATCTCTGCAAGGTGAAGCCAGGATGTGGGGTGCCGTGGGAATAAGGGGGATCCCTCCCCTGCTCACCCTGCCATGCTCCTCTAATCCACTTGCTCTCCCTCTGAGGCCTCGCTGGTGGCAAGATGCCCCCTCCCAAGGCACGAGCTGCAGCCCTGTTTCTGCTCCTGTGCTAATTACACCCTCACCCACGCGGAGGGAAGCTCAGCAGACCGGCTCTGATCACACAGTGGGCTTTATCTGGTGAATATCTGAGCAGTGGTGCCGGTGCCTTGGCACACTAACAGAGCTGCTGTGCTCTTCCCAGCAGCTGTGTGTGGGGAGCTACTCGGCCTCCAACCAAATCACAACTGGCTGCAGCGAGGAAAGGGGGAAAAAAAATTTAAAAGGCCCAAAGTGCAAAACAAAAGGCACCTGCCTTGTTTCACCGCAGTACCTGGTGCTGCTGGCAGCCACCCCAAGCTCCCACACTTTAATGTTTCTACAGCCATCGCCTCCGTTGAGCGGCCAGAGGATGGGGAGGGCCAGGTGCTCTCACCCCATTCCCCTTAACAAACACTTCCAAGTCACCCAAGCAGCAAGCATTGACAATAGCAAGTTTGCTGCCTTTAAAAAAAAATTAGTATCTCCTAACCCCCCAACTGAGTAACAAAAAGTACATAAGGGCTGCCCAGCAGGGATGCAGCCTCCATCTCTCTGGTCCTGGTGGCCCACTGGTGCCCACAAGCCTGTGCCCCTCGTGCCCAGCCCCTGCCTTGCAGCCAGTGCTCCTGGCTCTGTGCCATCCCTGCGTGATGGCCAGTGGCCAGTGGCGGGGCCGAGTGGCCCTTGGTCGCCCCGTGATGTGATGCCAGTGTAGAGTCTGGCTGTGCCTCCCACTCCTGGTGCTGGGAAGGGACGTGAAAGTTGCCTCGGAGTCCTGGGCGGGATGACAGGAGGGGACTCAGTCACAGTGCTGTCAGCTCCAACTGCACGAGAGGGGACATGGATGTGACTCTGGCATCTGGGGAAGGAAAGAGAAAGCTCATTAGCGGTGTGATGTTGGCTTAGCCCACACAGGGGAGCATTGGCAGTTACTGGGGTAACCCCCACCCCAAATCCCAGAAATGGCTGGAGACAGAAAGCAGCTGGCTTATTTGGGAGTTGGACTCTGCTTGAGCATGAGAGGGGGGAGAGAGGGTGTTCAGCTGGGGAGGGTTCAGAGACGGGCAGGAAACTTCTGTGGACATGACAAGGGAATGAAAAATTGAGAAAAAAAAGAAGGGTTTTTTTTTTGTTGGTTTTTTTTTTGGCAGGGACGAGGGCCCAAGAACTGGAACAGACAAAACAAAAAGACCCTTTTTCTCTTTTTCCGCAGGTTCCTCCAAAAACATCCGTATCACTGACATTTCCAAGGGGTTGATTAATCCAGTCTGGGGCCTAGCTCAGACTGCACATGTTTCCATCTGCCCAGGGTTAGGAAAAGCCTGATTTTCATCGACTTTCCTCCCCAGGCCAGCCACTCCCTTCCAACGCTGCCTGATAAACTGGCTTCAGAGACAACCAGCCGCTTGGAAAGAGCAGCAGCGGCAAAAAATCTGCAATCCCTGTTTATCCAGCCTTGCTATTATACACATGCAAATGGGTTTCCCTAGGAGCCACCGAGAGAAACCAGCTGTGACTTTGTTCTGGCAACTCCAGCGAGGTTGCAACAGGTTGCAAGCAACCACCCCAGGAGCACGCAGGTGAGCAGCAGCGTTTAGGAGCCAGGAGATTATCCTGGGCTTTTTTTAGGCTGCTGTTTGCAGGTACACAGGTTTTCACATGGGAAGATGTCTTTCTGTGAGCAGGGCTCTGTGGATGGAGCCGAGAATGATGCATGGCAACAAAATTCTGGGATTGTTGCAAGGTGAAAGCTGGTGGAACGCTGTTCCACATGGAAGGGAGCCACACCAGGCAGCACTAAATGTGTCTTTGTGAAAGCTTGTTATCTAAGATGTAATATAATAATCAGGAAAAGCCACTGAACAGATTTGACACAGTGTGTGTGGTATCAGAATATAGTTCAGGGCCTGACACGTGCTGTAAATCCTTGCAGGAGCTTTGGGGCCAAAGTTCATTTTAGGAGCCAGAACACCCTCAATTTACTTCAGCCTTGGTTGCTCAGCACCCACCCAACAGCAGGTACCAGCTGCTGATGCTGCCCACAGCCCTCATGGGAGCTAAGCCCACCAAAGGGCTCCAGTGGGAGCCATGAAGTGGGCTCTGAGCTTTCGGATGTGTCCCAGGAATAAGTGTCTGAGCACTGCCCAGCCACTGGCCTCCCCTCCTTACAGCCCAGACCGTGAGGAGGATCCTGGAGGAGCTAAAAAGCACCAGAATGGGAACCCCTGGGCAGGGAAACCCCTGGCTTCTCACTGTGATGGGGTTTGGCTCATCCCATTTGTTTTGAGATGGGAATTCCAACACCTCCACCCCAGGGGAGCATTTGAGGCTCAGAAGGCAGCACAGAGGGATGCAGTGACTTCCCTTTCCAATTCACCTTCCCTGGCTGGACCATGCAATCTGAAACAACTGTCCCACTCCCATTTGTGACTCTGCCCCACGAAAATGAGAGTGTCACACAGGACAGACAGTTTGAAGAAGCCACTTCTAATGTGGAGACAGGCAGCTTGGAGAACCTGTTCCTGGTGAAGCCCAAAGTCACCTCCAGGGAGGTGTGGAGTTGTCCCCATCAACTGTCACTGCACAGGACTGTGACAGACCACCCAGCATCTTTCTCTGGGCTCCTGGCCAGGCTGCACTTGTCTTTGTAAACACAGAGAGTCTTTATTAGCCGAGTGCTCAGTATTTTATTTCCCGTTCGTAATGTTCTGCGTCCTCACGGCTCCAGGTGGGAGGAGACCAGGCTTTCACGTTTCATACTGCTAATCACGCTTGATCCCTGGGATTAGCTGCAGGTAATAAGCACTAAATTAATGTCACACGGCCTCCTTGGCAGGGCCGCTGGGACCTCTGCCGAAAGGTGCCCCGGCTCCAGCTGGGAAGGGTGAAGGCCATGCCCTCAAGGAAACATTTCCAGCTGATCAGCTTTATGCTTTAAATGAAAAGCAGGCTGGGTAGTTTATGATCAGCATTTGCCGAGGACTGATTATTTGGGTTTCAGGGACCAGTTTATACGCAAGAGGTTGTTTTTTCCATGAGTACAAAGTACTATTTCCTGCCATGTGATTGCTCAGGCCTTTCCCCACCAGCCCAGCTTGCTCTGCTCTGAGGGATGGTCCCTCCCGACCCTTCTCCATCTGAGGGGGTTAGTATTGCCAAAGCACACTTGGACACAGCCAGCCTGCCTTCTGGGTGTTCCTACTTGAAGAAGGATCCCATAGGGCCTATCCAGATGTTGCAGTAGAGACCTTCCATGGTGGGAGCTACAAGCCAAAAGATCCCTCGGCCAGACCTGCTACAGGACAATGGTGTAGTCATAGGATCCTATAGACAGTTACCCCAGTTCCTGAGCCCAGTTTTGACCCAAGCACAGCCAAGACAGCCAAGGCAAGCACATGAGACATGGCTGGTGAAGCACTGCAACACATGCACATCGGAGACATTCACTCACCCATGCTGGTGCTTTATGTAAGGAGCTGTCACACTGGCTGAGGCCACAACAATAAATTAATAAAAAAAAAAAAAATAAAAAACAAAAAAAAATAAAAAACCTAAAGAAAAATCACGTGGAGAGACATTCTTTCTGGCAAGAGCTCGTGTATATTTTAAATACTTCTTTTAACCGAAGAGTGGAAGCGAAGCCAAAAAAGCACATAAAACCCTCACTCAGTGACTTTTCACCAATTTAATTTGCAGGTTGGTATATTACAGCTCCTAGTTTTCTTGTGCTGTATCAGGCTCCAGATTACAGAGGGGAAACCTATCTATGCAACCCCCTGAAGCTATTTATTAGGTCTGACCAAACCAAATACAGTACGGAGGAAAAAGGGCAGGAAAGGAAAATAACATCACTGTGATTTTGAAGACTTTTTTATTCAGCGGCTGAAGAATCAACTCCCACCTCAAACTATTCCCTGTCCTATTCCCAGGAGCATGGCTGGTGTTGAGCTTTAATATTCAGATGCATCTGCTACCAGGGAAAATTAATTTTCAGCTCTAGGATGGCTCTTAAAGAGAGGCCCCATTGACCTGAGCTGAAAATGATGGAGTCCTCACACTCTTTGCTGCAATATTTAATAGCCAAGTGGCAGTTAATTAGATTATTGAGCCACTGTGACAGATGCTAGGCAACGCCTGAGGAGGAGAATTTGGAAAGGTCATTATCTTCCAGTGTTTGGAACACTCTCAGATCTCATTTTAACCCTTTCCACTCTCACCCTGCCCTCATGGTGGTCCAACTCATGTTAAAACCAGTTGTTTCACAAAGGCCAGAGCAATGCCCTAGGTGATTTTTTCCCACTTGAGAAAAGCAGGTGGTCACATTGGGCAAATAACCAGCAGATGTGCCAGGAACTCCTCCTTGGTTCCCAGTTGGCACCAAAAGAAATGATCACTGGGAGGTGCCAGCAATTTCCCCCGCTGGGTGATTCCCAGGCGCACCAACCACACCAAGTGGGAAGCAGGGAAGTGAGAGGGTGTTAGAGGGTTTGAGCAGCATTCTTTCTTCCCTGTGCTAAGTGAAGTGGATTTTGATGAGTTTGTGGAAGAATTTCCCTCCCCACAGTCCCCACTTTCCAAATAAAACTGTAAGTGAAGCTTGTCAATCCCACACGCATACCAGCTCCTTCAGCTGGCTGGGATGTAGGCTCCGACCACCAAAGCAGGGCTCTGTGTGTTGCTGGCTCTGTGAAACCTGCAGACTGAGCTAGAAGAGGTGTTACAGACTTCGTGGTGAGATGATGCTATCCAACTGTTGCCCGTATCCCTATCTGCTTTTACAAGGCAAGGTGAGAAGAATTTTTGGCCTTTGCCTGGCCAGCTGTATCTCAGCAGATTGGTGAAGACATGCAAATCTCTGTGGAGTCACATCGGGAACCAGAGGGGCAACCACACATCCCACTGGGGAGGAGAGAGGAGGAATCAGCAGTCCTGTCCCAGTGGCACTGCAGTAGCACCTTCCCTGAGCAAGCGAGAACTGGAGCACCAGAATGAGACAGGACATCATGAGATTCCACCAACTTTCTTATTCTCACACACCTCAAAACACTGATAAACACATTCTTCTTCTGGTTACAAAACCCCTTCCCTCCCACTCAGGTCTTACACAGAAGTTTCAGAAGTTCTGATTTAACAAGCAACAGTTTGGATGATAAATAAACACCAGGACCATCAAATGCATCGTGGCTTCTGAGCTTTTGCTTCTGCTACTCACTGAAATGTAAATACAGAGCATAAAAAGAGATCTAGGATTTGCCAGCATTCCAAGGGTCACTTGCCTACATATTCATCAGTTCTGAATAAATCACCCAGAAAATCAGCGAAAATATTGAACTACTGAGACATTTCCAAAGCACTTGTGGCCCTGGTATCTCCCAGGACTCACTTTCAAGTGTTTTTAGAAGCCTTAACTCCCTCAACTGCGTGGGGACAGGATGTATTCTGCAGGGAGAGCCATGAGAGCAGGTGTGGACACATCTGCTCTCCCATCCACAGAAGGGTGACACTGTCACATCCAGCTACCCTGGAGCAGAGGGAGAGGAGCTGTGGCCTGCTTGCAACCATCGATGTAGATGCATCTCTAAAGATGCTGTGAGGATCAGCTGGAAATAAGAGAACCCTGGGAGCTAGCTTGGCCTACAGCATCGCAGGACTGGCTACTCCTTCCTGGCTCTGCATCACACCTTTAAATCTCTCTGCCCCTAAAACAACCTCATGAACAACTTGGAACCTGTGACTCCGGCACGGTGGGTGCAGCCGCAACTGAGGCAAGTTTCAGTTTAAGAGGAGGAGACCCTTACCTTATTGACCTCCTGGATACAAGCCCCCCCGAGCCCTGCCCCTCATCATGACGGCAAATGCTTCCAGGTGCTGACAAAAGCTGTGGGGATGAGCGAGTAAGGCACCGTTGTGATACAGTTCCATGTGTCTGACGTAGGGTCGTAGCAGTCCAGCGTTTTGCACCTCTGAGTGCCAAAATAACCCCCTACCACATACAGTTTATTCCCTGAGGCCAAAGCGTGGCACGACATGCGCTTGGCCGTCATGTCCCCGATGCGTGTCCACTGGTCCGTCTCGCAGTCAAAGCGGTACGCGGACGCTGCCGTGAACTCTGTGTCCCCTCCCATGATGAAAATCTGGCTGCCCAGGACAGCGGCTGCCGTGTAGCGCCAGGGCTGTGGGCATTCGGCTTTGATCATCCATCGATTCTCAGCTGGATCGTAACACTGGACTTTGGACACCATGTCCCGGTGAATGCTGGTCCCACCAAAGACGAAAAGCTTGAGTCTGGCACTCACCACTGCAGCGTTGCTCACTCCATCTCTCAAAGGAGCCACCATTGTCCATTTGTTGGATATGGGATCGTACTTCTCCACTTGCTTCAAGGAAACAGAAGGAGATGCAGGAAAGACTCCAGCCACTGCAGTGTGTCCACCAACCACATACAGGCAGTTTTCCAATTCGGCCGAGCCATGTCCAAACCGAGCGATTAACATTGGGGCAGCTTTGGACCATTCCTCATGAACAGTGTCATACACCCACACATCTTTCGAGACCCCGTTCTCTGAGCCTCTGCCTCCAGTGATATATACTTTGCAACCAATGGCACAGGCACTAAACTCCTTCCGTGGACTTGGCAGGTCTGCTTTGGGGATAATTTCCTTTGCTTTGTGGTCTACTTGGTAAATCTTATCACACATGAAGGTCTGTCCTCCCAGGATCAGCAAGGTGTGCCCAGCTTTGCGAGGCCTGGCACAGGGACTGGTGACGACTCCATCATTCTGGAGGATCTTCTTCTTGCATTGAATAGCTTCATCCAAGACAATCTTGTTCCTTTCATCCACCATGATCAAGTCCTCACAAGCCAAGGCTTCCTTGAGGCATTCAGAAGGAAGCAAAGCCAGACGAACATTCCTCAGAAGCTCTGGGAGATAAGCCTTCCGCTCATCCAGATCGTATTTCACCCACTGGATGACAGCCTTAAAGACTTTTTCTTCATCCTCAATTTCCAGCTCATCGCTGGAGATGAGGTCCAGCAAAGTGTCCTTGGAAAGGTTGTTGAAGTCCTCACTCTTGTGAACAGTCTCAAAGTTGACCAGGCACATCCTCCAGGAGAGCTCATAGAGCCGTCGGCACTGATGAGCATCCGAGAGCAGCATCATGCCCAGGCAGTTGGAAGGGTAAAGGTTCTTCTCCAGGAACTCGGCCGCTGCATCTCGGACGTCATGGAACTGCAGCATGTCTCCAGCTTCCAGGAGGGACTCAGCGTTTTCCTCATTGATAATGATCCGAGAGGAGTAGGCAAAGTCCAGCAGTAGCTCCAGCACCTCTGGGTGGAGGCTGTCATGGAAGTTCACCTCATCATCCAGGCTCTCCCGGAGGCCGTTGCTAAACATGGCCTCAAAGTACCTGCTGGAGGCAGCCAGCACTGCCCGGTGGCACGGGAACGACCTGTTTCCTGCCCAAAGAGTGACATCGGTGAACATGCAGTGCTTCCGCAGGGTGTTCAGGTGGGACAGGACACAGTCCGGGTGGGAAGCTTTGTGAAAAAGCAAGATGTTCATGGAGCCCGTGCTAGTCCGGGATTTACGGTTCTCGTGGACGCTGACTGACATGATAGCAGAGCTCTTGCCTGCAGGAGAACAAACAGGAAAACCATTATTCCCTTGTCCTTACTGATGTTTGGCATGGAGAACATGTGCATTGCTATCCAACCCTGGTACACTGCCAATGGACCTCAAACGTGAGGCACCAGCTGACACCCCTGTGCTCCTGCATCTCCACTTGCAGAGCCCGTGCCTCCTGCACCCTCACATCCTCCAAAAAATTTAACTCAGGCTGAACAGGGTGGGAAGGCAGAGTGGGGTGAAGAGGGGAATTCTCCACTTTGGTTTCAGCAACAGAGCAACAAAGTGAAGCAATCAACCCCCAAACTTGGTGGTAGATTGTCTCAACAGCCCCTAGAGGGTATTGGCAAACCGCAGAAGAGTTATTTTTCCTTAGAAAACAGCATCGAGAGAGCAGACTATCCAGGATAAAGGGCACTGGTCTGTTCCTGGCTGAGCAGTGTCTGGCTTCTGATTTTCATATAGATTGTTGCTGCAGGTTTAGGAAAGGCAATTGCTAGAGGTTTTATTTATGGAATATTTAACTACCAGCACAAGTCAAAAGTTTTGAACAAATTTTACCAAAGCCATTTGTTGTAGCTTTTGATGATGAAACTCACCACACACTTCATATGATTTAAACATTTTGCAGGACAGATTCACATCAGAGTAAAACAAAAGAGACAGCCCAATTACACTTTTTACCAGACAGGCAGAAGCAAACACAAGGCTTTTATTAGCTACTATTTCATTTAAGTGCTACCTGATACCGTTCTTTGCCTGTAGAAGAATACTCCTTTGGAATAATCAAATTAATACTACCTAGATGATAAAATACAAGTAAATTACTCCAAAATATTTTAGCCAGCTGTATTTTGTTCCTTGTGTGACTAAAGCAGACAGACAGATATGCAAACAGCCCTCTCTTACAGGAGAAAGTCAGTGCTGAAGTTCATAGCACAACTGTCCCGAGGTTTGAAAAATGAACCCAAAAAAAAGAGAAAAATGGGCTCATCCTGCTGTACCTTCAGTCCAGCCACTGAAATGTTTAGAAATCAGCCATTAGCCAGACAGTTGGGGAAGGTCTTTCAGATGGTTTCTTCATGTTGATTGGATTTGTTTTTTTTAAGTTCCTCTTCAGAACCAGAGGTTTCTCAAGGGTCTTTCTACCCTGCAAATACAAGGGCTGCAATTCAACCCTATCCTCCCCAGCTGAGCTCTCTATCACCCCAGCCCAGCACTGGGGGGTCTCGGGGGAACCCACGAAATGCTGGGAGCATGGACGCAGCGCTCCCAGGCTGCCGCCAGGTCACAGCCTTGACCTGGCGGTGACCTGGAGCTGCACAACCCTCCCACACTCCACGGGTGGATGACCTCAAGCAGAGGCGGATGGCCAGATAAGCTGCCTGACTCAGGCTCTGATCATGTGCTTCCTACCCCTGCTTCTCCAGCACCTCCAAAAGAGTCCAAATTAGACAAACAGTTGTGGGTATGTTGCTCCTTCCCCCCCGCTGCCATGAATTATTGAAGTTGGTCTTCCCAAGGCCTCACTCATTCCTTAGGGCTGTGTCACAGTCCAGGGAAAAATCTCTGTGCTCCTCCATGTAGAAATGACAGGTTGCCCAAGCAGCCGCAATTCCCGCTCAGTCTCTGAGTCAAGGCAGGAGCATTGATGCAGGTAATCGGGTTGGATATGTACATGCCATCACCAAAACCCCTGCAGCCTTGCTTGGGTTGAGGCTGACAAGCTCATTTCACTCATGATTGGAGGTTGTGCAGAATCAAGCCTCCAAAAGAGGAAGGAAAATGCCATTATGAAACAGCACTTTGAAGTGCATCTGAAGGAAATGTTTCCAACATCTACACCCAGCGCAGGAACAACACTAATTTAAGAGGTTATATGGATTCCCATGTCAACACCGAAGCAAGGAATACAAATGAAACATTTATGAGTCTGCTAAAAGCTATTGATTTAGTTTCCTATTCCTACAACCTCAGAAACCACCCTGCCATTGCCACTGCTTTCTTTGCTCACAGCTCAGGTCAGCTATTCAATGTTAACCTTTGATTTGCTTATGCACAAAAAATGAAGCAATTTATACAGAACAGCTACGGAAACAAACACAAGGATTGCAGGGACGCAGCAATAATTTTTCTGACACTAAGATTAAAAAATCACTACTCAGAATGGAAGGAGCAGGTCATTTAGAAATTAAAATGTCTGTATAAAAGCTGCAGCACAGCCATTTTATATATATATACACACATACAGATACATATACTGTGTGCACACACACGCATGTATATATATATATATATATAAAATCTCAGGCTTCTACCATCAAACATCTAGCCCAGAGAACTTGGTAGCATTCTATCTTATGTGTATTAAACAACATTCAGGGAATAAACTGGCAGCTTCCAGTTCAGTCCCCAGCACTGCTCTTCATATCACCTTGTCCCAATACAGGCACCAACTGATCCCCAGTGCAGCTTCAAGTCTGAAACCTAAAGAGGCCACAGTCACAGCCCCTTTACTTGGCCTCTCCTGGGGCCGGGTTATGACACTGGATGCTACTGGTCACAGATGAGCAGGGCTAGACAGACCACTAAACTGAAACTAAAGCAGCCTCTGAACTCTGGGGTGCAGCCAGCAAGCCTTGCTTGTGGTTTTCAGCAATATCCAAACAGCTTTTTCTGAGGGCTTCTTGAATCCTGCCATAGTGGCACAAGCAGAAAAGTGGCAGGTACTAATCCTTTCCCTCACAAACACACCTCACCGCATTTCTCAGTCTACCAGAGACCTTGGCATCATCTCACCCCGATCAGACAAACAGAAACTGCAGGCAGCAGCTATTTCATCTGGTGGGTTTCTTCCAAAATCTAGCAGCTCACAAACCTCAGAAGCCTGCAGGTAAATGATCTCCTACAATTTCATGATGTGCACAAAAGTATGCTTCGATTTAAGCAATGTTTAACTGCGGCGATGAACAGGCTGGACCCATGACGTGTGCACTTCTCTGAAGCGGACACATGCAGAGCAGAATTTGGCCCCTACCACACTCCTTGCTTCCCTTACCCAACTACTGAGCTAAAGAGAAAAAGCAGAGCCACTCAGAACGAGGAATATTTTACTCAAAGCAACCTGTCAGTGGCTCCCGCCAAGCTCCTGCCGCTCTGCGAGCGCTCAGGGGTTATCGTTGTTCCCAGCTGCATCTTCCATCAGGCAGGAAGCTGTCGCTGGAACAGCTGTGTCAATGAGAATAGCAGAAGGCATGACCTGAACAAACTGGGGCTTGGATTTCTCCACGCTGCATTCATTTTTTTTAACTTCGAAAGGCAGTTATTGAAAAAATAAATATCTACTGCATAACCTTTTAAAAGGATCTTAACTGCACGCAGAGGCAGATGATAATCCTTCTTCCATATGGATGAGGGCAGAGGGGCATCAGCTTTTTGACAGCTATCCAATGATGTCTGCTGGCTGTAGTATTCCCCTGGCTGTCTACAGCCTTTGTACAGCCAGGATAGGAAAGACAGGCTTTTTCCAGCAGAGCAAGATAAGGATGCTTTGAAAATCCTTCCACTCACCCAGACAGAGCAGACAGCAACCCTGAAGGAAGGAAGGAGTTGGCTCAGGGAGAAAAGACTCCTCAATCTTAGTTCATGAAGAAAATACCCCAGCAGTCTCTCTGGACAGGACTAAGCTATAAAAGACAAGGGGAAAATCCAAAAGCACAGAGATGGCCAAACTCCCACTCAAAGAAGCACAATTCTCCTATCCAAGAGCCTCGTGCTTCCTCCAAACCATGCCCCAGCAGAAGACTGTCCGTCCCAGGCTGGTGGGTCATCATGTCAGAGCCCTGCTGGAATGGGTCATTTAGAGAACTTTAGGAAACACTCTATCATCTCTTGAAAAATCCAAGCACCTCTTAGACAGACACTTTGAAGCTGTATCGGGCCCTGTCCCCAATCACAAAAGAACTGCACATGAGAGGACAGCTCAAAAGGACTACTGATACATGAACTATATTTAGCCAGGCTTGGGGCTTCCCCTCCATCTCAAACCAGCAGCCTCTCCACAAATCTGCAAATTCATTCACTATCTGCAGGGAATTACCAGCTGAGATCCTGCTTCCTTCAAGAGGACATTTGAGAGTGAATATGTTCCCCAGTGGGACTTCAGGGGATCAAGAATAATTTCTGCTTAGAAAGGCAAAACTACAGGATTTATATGTGTTCTCCCAAGACTGTAAAGGTTGGCTAAACACCAACAAAGAGCCCAAATCCCATGATACCAAGCTGGGCACTTTCTGTTTGCCAATCAGAGAAGCAGCAACCAGAACACATTTCTTTTTTGCCCCACTCAACCATGAATTATTTAAAGCTGTAAATAAGTAAATAAATAAGCAGTAAGGCTCCCTGCTGGCTCAGCTCAGAAGACCTGGAAGAAGCTGCTCATGCTGCAGCTGAGATTCATTCCCAAGCAGTCAGACATATACAGGCCCTCCATGTATGGGCTGCACTACAACCTAGTGCCACTCCTTCCAAACCAGAGCAGACCTACCTTGAGCAGGCAGAGACAACAGGAGTAAAACCCATTTTTATTTTCTCTCCATTTCACAGTATCAACCCTGTGGGGTGAAACACCATCTTGAACTCAGCCAAAATTCAACCTCTCCCTGGAAGCGGCGGGATTAATTTTCTACCCATTACGAATGCGCCTGTTCCCTCATCCCAAATATCTGGACTTTTCCAACACTTTCATGGACTCCACCGCCTGGTGCTTAGGCCAGCAGCGCTATCCCAGGCCAAAATTACTGGCATAGAACCAACTTCCCCCTTTTTACTGTAGAGAGTAGCAAACTAGAAACATAAAGTCACCTTCTGTGTTTTCTTCAGAGGGAAGAGCTCCTTGCAAAGCTGCTTAGAAGAAAGAGCAGTGAGAAAACACAGTGTCAAACACAGAGCCAGATACAGCTGTTTCAGATGCGATTTCCCGGCACTGGAGACCATCAAAAGGTTT